TTTTGTCTTGGTGAGATTGAGAGAGATACTGTTTTTTAGAGCCCAGTCCGCTATAGCCTGCACATCAAGCTGCACCCTCTCCAAAGCCTCCGCAAGGCTGCCGGGATGACAGTGAAGGTAGACCTGCGTGTCGTCGGCATAAAACATATAATTCATGAAGGAGAGAACAGAGGGCAGGTCCGAGATATAGATTGCAAATAGCAATGGTCCCAGAATACTACCCTGCGGCAATCCAGTAGCAGCCCTGAGCCATACTGCTGCCCCCCCCCCCCCCTCATAACAGCCTAAAACCTGTCAGTCAGATAACTAAAGAACCATCTCAAAACAGTATCAGACAGGCATAAGTCCCTGAGCTTGACCATCAGATGACCATAGGGGATAACGTCAAAAGCCTTGGAAAAATCCAGCAGGACGAGGATTGTGATTTTACGCTCCTCAATGGCCCTGCGGATGTCATCAAGGACACCCAGGAGTGCAATCTGAGTGCTGTGAAACCTCACGAAAACGGCCTGCCATGGATCACGCAGCTTGCAGCGGTCTAGATAGGACGAAAGTTGTGAATGAACAAGCCTCTCAAGCACCTTTAATAACTTAGCTCGGATAACCTTGCTATCGGGCTGATGTCCAATAAAAGAGCGGGCGAAGGTACTTTGGCAAAAGGGGTGATGAGAGACCGTTTCCAGGAGGTCGGAAAAACGCCGCACAATAATAATTTGTTGACAAGATGCGTGAGAGACGAGAGATAAGTAGAGGAGACGAGTTTAAGCATCTTGACAGACAAACCATCCGAACCGAATGTTCTGGATGAGGACGAGTTTAGTGCATCCATAACCTCCTGGCTAGTTACCTCACGAAATTCGAATGGGGGCGTCAAAAAAGTCACATATCATGGGAGGAGACGAGTAAACTATATTGGCAAAGTGGGTATTTAGTGCGGCTGTAATATAAAAATCGAAACGGGGATGGAAGAGCGCGCTTAGTGAATCCCAAGTTTCGTAACTCGCTCCATCTGGCCTTACTGGTGTTTGCAGAGGAGAGCCTGCTTGAGATGCAAAAATTTTTTGCTGAGTCGAGGATATTTGAGAAGTCATTACGAAGTCTTCGATACCCAGCGAAGTCACTGACCAAGCGAGAGGAGGATGCCAGTTTATAGGCTGCGTCACGCTTTTTCATGAGAGCGAGAATGCTCGGAGTCACCCAGGGTTTATGCCTAGAAGACAACTTGATGCACCTGAGAGGGGCTACCGCGTCGAAGGAATTTAAAAGGACTTCAGTAAGAGAGTGCACCAAGTTCTCAAGAGAATGCAGGTCAGCACCGATCGGCGGATCCGAAGAGCGCTTCAGTCATGCTGAAGATTTGTCGACCAGACACAAGAGAAGACTACTGAGGGTCTCATTTAAGGCCGCTTCGTCTAACCGATTTAAACTGCGGGACCAAATGACTCTGGTGACGTGCTTGTTCGTGGTAAAATGATAGGAGAGCGAGATGAAACCATGGCCAGCAATAAAGTGAGTATCGGATTTTCCAAAGTTCTGGATAGCATTGGGGTCTTTCACTATAAAAAGGTCAAGTGTAGTGTGGGAAGGGGAATTTATATCAAGACAGTGATATGTGGGATCAGTGGATACGATGTCGAGGTGTGTAAGTCGACGAGAGATCTTAAAGCTCGAGCATCAGGCAGAGAGCTAGAACTTAGGTCTGCGTTAAAATCACCGGTAATGATGACACTTCCATACAGGGAGAGGTAAGTGGCCAGGTAGTTGAAAAAATGTGTGGGAGAGCATGCAGAAGGACGTCTGTATATCACCGCCATCAAAAGCTTGGTCTTGTCGGACTTTATTTCGCCAAGGATGAATTCAGGCGTGTTATAAAAAACTGGATCTGAAGTAGCTAGGAAACTAAATTTAAGATAAGATCTGACGTATAGGCCAAACCCGCCACCCTTCTTTCCAATTCGGTCAAGCCTGAAAAAGTTGAAATCGGGGAGGGAGGGGTGTGAGTCAGAGATATCAGGTGAGAGGAAGGTTTCAGTAATGACTATGACGTCATAATATGTAGAAAGGGCTTGTGCTACGAGAATAGCAAAGCGACAAGACGAATTTAGTATATTTATATTGATGTAGCTGATAAAGAAAGAAGCAGAGGGCGGGGATTAGCTGGCATCATGGACCAGCAACTGGAGGAGATGGATTTGGGACAGACAGCTTCAGATAGCTGAGCTGGAAAGACAAACACTGTCGAGCTAAAACAACCGTCGGTTGTGTTAAGTTGCGGAGCAGAGTATTTTGGGATGACTGTAGTGAGTCGCTGTTTGACAAACTGGGGCGCAAAGTTGAGGTTGAGTGCCGATCGGAGTGGCAGCCACTGACATGGCACTAAAGCACGGAGCAGACGGCACAGGAGGCTGGCCGGGAGGCAAAGGCGTACAGCAGTCAAGGTCGCACTCCGACATTATGGGGATAGGGGTGTAACGCGTGTTTGCTCGCATGTGGACGACCATACCCGAGACGAAAGGGTACGTGAAACCAAGCTCGCGACTACGCGCAAGCGCCTTCACAAAAAGATTGTGGATCGGTTGGGGTAACAGCTGGTAGATGAAGAGAGGATTTCCAAGATGAGGAGATTTTATGCGACCCCTAGCGTTTGGGTAGCCAATCGCCTCGAAGAACATACCGGCGGCATCTTCCAGCGAACCCTGGAACTCCTGCGGAAGGCCCAGAATAAGGAGCTCGGAGCGATCCTTCAGACCCACTACAGACTTAAAGCTCTTCACATCGTCGGCGACACAATTGACTTTGGTTCGGATGGAAGTCTGGGTGGCTCTAATCTCGTTTCGAAACTCGGTGAATTCATTATTTACGAAACTGGAAAACCATGCTGGCGGTTTGTCGCACATGGTAAGAGCCATGCTATCGTATTTATTATTATTTGGTTCGCATTGGGGGAAGAAACACTGGGAAGGACAATCGATCGGTCAGTATTAAAGAAATCACTCCGGGATTCCACCTTCAACGTCTTCGACGGGGAAAGCTCGTAAGGTGATACTTGTCTCTTTCGGCCTGAGGTTTCGATGAAAGGCAAAGTGCTAGCTGAAGCAGAGTCGATTTGAGTGGAAGGAGGGGGTGGTAAAAGCACACAACCGGTTTGACGAGAGTTGGCCAAGACCGCAGACTCAATAGTACAGATACGGCAAATAAAGGTCGTAAGGTCAGGGTTTAAGGTTATATCGGAACAGTGGTGATGGAAAAATCTATCACAGGATTCGCACTGCAGATAATGCCACCCTGATAACTCAGTGCTTCACCACACTCGGCGCATAAAGACAAGACCATTTGATAAAAGTGAGCAGTTTGGAATTTAGAAACAAATTAAGACAAAAATAGAAATTCATAGATTCTGTCATAAAGTTTCCAATCTCTCCTCACCGGGTCTCAAAACTTCACAAGAAACTGTAATATACAAGGTAATTTGATAGGACAGATTAATACGACAAATTGAAAAGTTTGAATTTCGCGCGAAAATTTGAGTCACTGATCAGTCATAAACAAGAGCTTAGAAAAATCAGGATTTAAAAAAAATGAAAATTGGCGCCTCAGTGGCACCAACTTTGTTAGTTAAAGATCAAAAATTGACGGCAGATTCGGGAGTAAAATGATGCCATTTACAAGAGGTGGTAAAGGGATTCGCAAATTAACCTAGAAATGACTTAAAACGAAATGTGAAAAATGACTGATGAAGCGAACGCAGAAAGATACATTACAAATTAAAAGAATGGTAGAAAAGGAAACGCGATATGACACAGTCGATCGAATAAAATTAAAATTAAAATTAAAATTATAATTGTCTAGCGTGTAAATAGCGCTAGATGAAAATACAACAAAGTTAAAATAAAATAAAACAAAACGAGATAAAGTAAAATAAAAATATAATTAAAATAGCTATCGCGATGACTAAGCGCAAGAACAAATTAAGTTATGAGATGTGATGCGGCGAAGAAATAACACCAGCAGTGAGGAGTCTCTCCGAGTAGATTGAAATATGTAGATTAATGGTAAAAATTGTTGATACAGGTACTTAGCAGCAAAAATTTTTGGAAGTGTTGCAATCAGTAAGGTGTGTAGGTGTAGTGTGTAGAGTGTAGTGGTCCTGGTGTGGGGGCTGTGTTGTTGTTAGCGTTGTTTGCAGAGATGTGTAGCTCAAAACTCGTCAAAGTTTGAGATTTGATAAAGGTAATGTTGTAACCAGGCAAGCGGATAATTCATCCACTGGATAAAAACTTGACTATTTTGAGCAGGAAGAGCAGCGGCCAGTTGGACGAACTCACCTGCAAAAATATGTCGCTCGAGAAAGTGGCAAAAGTAAGAAAATGTTCACAAAAGAAGAGCGCCTCAAAAACCAGCGTGTCGCTACTCACCGAGAGAGAGGGAGAGGGAGAGAGAAAGGAGTATAACGAGAATGATTTTCAATTGTTATAATATTGACAATAAAAAGCTAAACTTCGGTAGAAAACGACATTGATAGTTTCAAAAGTCTGTTTTCGTCATATACGTATAATGATAGATAGTTTTTATTTTGTTATATATGTGCATTATTATATATTATTCATATATTATTTTATTATTTATGTGCATTCATAATTCACATCCTATTTTCGAAAAACCAATTTAATAAAATCGTTCTATATTAGACGTACTTGATAATAACTTACATTATGTTGAACTTTGTCTTAATTAATTTATATGTCACGATGTATTATTAAAAGCGTACGTAAATAGTAATATAAAACATTAGTAATCAACGTATAAAAACCAAATATTATCAGGATCGAAATATATACAAGTTATTGCTTCAACATAATAAAGATAGCCTTGAAGAAGATAATTTATTAGTTAAACATTTAAAAACAAATATAAGAGCTCAAATATGGAGAGTGAAAAAGATAGAATTTAAATAAGATTGAATTGACAACCAGTATTGTACGAATCACTTTCTTACTAACCTTGACTTAAAAGTAATGCCACCATTTCCTCGTGTCCTTCCCTAGCAGCCTCCATCAACGGCGTATATCCTTCGTCGTTAACTTCTTCAATATTTGCACCTCTTTCTATCAAAAGCATCGCCAAATCTACATGACCTCCACAGGCAGCTAAGGTTAAAGGCGATTCAAAACTATCGGTTGGCATATTCACTTGAGCTCCAGAATCCAATAAAAGACGAGCAACTTCTACGTGTCCGTCCATTGAAGCTTCCATGAGTGCTGTGTGCATTTCATCTGTTTTATGTTCCTGTTAAATAAATGATTGTGTTATATGTAATTATACTAGTTTACCAATATTTATATACATTATACAAATAATTGTTCTGTAACAAATGGATATTTATTAAGACGTATGCTGGAACAAGAAGTGACCATAAGGGAAAATCACGAGCATGAATGTGAGAGAGGCCGGATGAAAATTCGTAAGTCCACGGAGAAGTACACGAGCACGATAGATGAGAAAGAACGACACACGACTCGGCGAAACACTTAGTATCGCTCGTACAACTCAGCCGCAAACAGAAAAAAAAAACTAAATGAATCCCCGTTGTTTCCTACTCTCGCCAAACCAAACGTGGTAAAGTGCCCGAGAACCACCCGCCGCACAGTAGGGTAAATCGACAAAACTTGTTCAAAATCAAATATCTAGCAATCGGATAAAGATGAGGCTAACGCCATTTTAAACTTGAAGTGATGCTAAATACACGAAAAAATAAAAACATGAGGCTAACGCCATTTTAAACTTGAAGTGATACTAAGTACAAGAAAAATAGTCCGAATTCTAAAAATCGTTCTATCGACATTGAATTTCAAGGTCAAAGTATCAATATTTGAAATTTTAATCTTTTATCTTCAGAATGCGTCTAGTTACGGAAAATTGTTTGATAATTTATTTTTTTTTTGTGAAGGTAGACAAAAAAACAAAAAAAATAAGGTTATACGTGAAACAAGATTGTAAACTCGCGGAAATACAGACTTTGAATCATATGATGTTTTTTGAACTTTCAAGAAAAAAACTAATAGGTACATATAAATATTTCTAGGTTCGAGTTCAGCTTTATATTATGTTTCCGGAGTAAATACTCATACTTGTAAGTTACCATTTAGTGAAGATGATGACAATGGTTAATATAATGAGGTGCATTTTATGCTTGCTTTCTATTGTCAACTAATAAGCAGGCCTTCCCTAAGGGTATTTTCCTTACAAGGGAGAGCTTCCGATTTTTCTAAAACTTGACAAAGGGGTACAGTTTTGAAAAATATTTGACACGTATTTTTTTTTTTATCTCCGGGAATTCATATTTAAAGAGGGAAAGCCACCCTTAAAACTTAGCCCCGAAACAGATTTTTTTAATATTTCGAGATTGGATCGGAATTTCTTGATGAAATCAACGCCTGTTTATTTCTTATAAAATAGTAAGTATTCAGGCGCAGTTTAGAAACCCAAATATATCAAAGATGTGAAAAACAGCCAACTACAGGGTGTCCAAAAAGTTCCGGGACACCCTAGTAAGTCCTGAGATATAACTATTTCCGAGGAGATTAAGGTCATTCCTGTAGTAACTTTGAACGAGGAATCCAGTGGTGACCTTGGTTTTGACCTTGAGCTTGAACTTCAAGGTCATTTCAAGGTTAACTTTTTTTTTTTTTTTCAAATGGTAACCACTATTTTTGACAACGGCAATTGAAAGAGCGAGAAATTTTACGTCCAAAATGGGATTTTAAAAATTTTTTTCATGGCCTTGAGAAGGTAGATTTAAGATCAAATGCTTGAAAAACTACCTAAAAGCGTTTTTTTAATTTTTAAGATATCGAAAAATGACCTCTACAAAATTTGTTCAGAACAGAGTGGGCCACTCAATGCACCAAAAACCTTTGACCTTTAACCTCATTTTGAAGGTCATTTCAAGGTCGAAGTGTTTTTTGTAATGGAAGCCCCTCTTTTTGACCCCGGATTCGCACATAGCGCGAAATCCGACGTTTGGATAAGGTATTATGTTGAGTATCGATTGATCCACGACGTTCATCGCTAAGGTCATGTGAAGTTTAGATCCAATATTATTCGCGAAACATTTACAAAATGTTTCGGGCTAAATTTTGCAACGATCTCCGAGAATCGTTTTGACTCGCGTAGGTTACGAAGCGGCTGAGCGTAGCAGCCGCGATCGGTTTGAGAGAGAGAGGGCGCGTAGGGGCAATGACCGGGAGGGGAGGGTTTGCTAGCCAGTATAACTGTGATCTTCAGTCCGGCTACATCTTAGCGATTGTGTTTGAGCTGCCAACGTACGTAATAGTTCGGGTGCGATCCAGGGAGTTTGAGGATATTGTTCGAGGGTGCTGAAGTGAAGGTGCACACTGTTCAACGTGTGCATCGGCAACTAACGATAACTATCAGTGCGGTGAAACGGATACATACTGCGCAGCGTGTGTGACATCGTCACTGAAAACAATAGCAGTAGGTGCAGTGCCGAGTGCGCACATTGTGGAACGTGGGCGACCTCGGCACCGGCGTACCTAGCGTCGTCAACTCCTGCAGCGACGCAACAACAGCGGAACTACAACAGCAGAGCGGCGATCTTACAGTTGATCCGCAGCTAGTACATCGGATACGGTTGGCCACCGTATCCCCATCGATTCCGCGGTAGGTGTCTGCCCTTATTTGTCATAGCTAGCGTACGATCCCGCGTGGCGTGCGCGGTAATATTATTATAAGCGTGCGAGCGAATAGTCCGCGTCAATCACGAGTTTTCCTCTCTTTCCCCGATTATACTGTCAGTCGAACTTGCGTGCGTGAGTCTCTCGGCAAATCCATCCCGTGTAAAAGATTCAAGTCAATAAAGTAGTCAGAGATTTAAACGTAACGATCGTATTGTTTTGTCTTTCCTTTGTCCGAGAACCGTGTTATTGTTTACATTCAATTCGAACACGCCGGTAGCAAGGCACGGATCGTGTAGGCAGCTTGAGAAGCGGCTCGCCAACCGAGTTATCAGCAGCGGCCGTCGGAGCGCTGCTAGGCAAGCGCGCCAGCGCCTCCAAGCGGAGAGTTCGAGAACCTAACTTCGATCGGTAAGAGAACTCTGCGCAGGCGCACTCCCGGACAAGGTGAGTTAATGTGCTTCTAGCACATAGATAACAAGGCGTCGTTTAGCCAATCAAGTAGGTACATTCAAGAGGAATTACAGGTTAAACGGCAGCCTGTTACAATTTATTAAATTCTACTGGGAGCATGTTACAGTGACCTTATCTTTGACCTTCAAGATCATTTTAAGGTTATTTCAAGGTCACCTTTGATTGTTTGAATAATAAAGTAACGGGTTATCCAAACCGAAAGTCAAGTTGTTTTAAATGAGGAGCAAGCAGAGACAGTTTTTTTGCTGGATAAGTTTTTTCCATTCACTGCGTTTTGAATGTTTCTTTCTGATTTCGCGCTATGTGCGAATCCGGGGTCAAAAATAGGGATTTCCATTACAAAAAACACTTCGACCTTGATATGACCTTCAAAATGAGGTTAAAGGTCAAAGGTTTTTGGTGCATTGGTTGGCCCACTCTGTTCTGAACAAATTTTGTAGAGATCATTTTTCGATATCTTAAAAACTAAAAAAACGCTTTTAGGCAGTTTTTCAAGCATTTGACCTTAAATCGACCTTCTCAAAGCCATGAAAAAAAATTTTAAAATACCGTTTTGGACGTAAAATTTCCCGCTCTTTCGATTACCGTTGTCAAAAATAGGGGTTCCCATTTGAAAAAAAAAGTTGACCTTGAAATGACCTTGTAGGTCAAACTCAAGGTCAAACCAAGGTCACCACTGGATTCCTCGTTCAAAGTTACTACAGGAATGACCTTAATCTCCTCGGAAATAGTTATATCTCAGGACTTACTGGGGTATCCCGGAACTTTTTGGACACCCTATATATCAACAGAGGGAAAGCTCATGTTCCCTTTATACATAGTTTTGAAAGAGAGTAAAGGAGAATTTGAACCTAGAGTAGTATAAACTTTATTTAGACCACAAAATATATACTTAGAAGCATCTGCCTCTGGAAAATTATCCAAGGAACTACTTCAAAATTAGATTGGAAATGTACTTTTTATTCACAGTAACAATGCACCTATATTGCTATCAGATTTATGGAGCGGACAATGTGAAAAAAACTGTTAACGAAGCTATACTAAATGACAAAAGTGTCGTATTGAAAACAATACCAGAAGGCACAACCGGTCGGATACAGCCTCTTGATGTATATGGATTTAGATTATGGAAGAACTTTATAAGAAAATTATCTGACATAACACTTGTTATGAATTATTGAAATTATGACGTCAAGTTACACGAAAGAAATAATATAATCAAGATTCAATATTTAACAAATAACTAATTTTCTTTACCAAGATTCTAAAATGTTTTTAAATATGCATGGTACAAAAGTGGGTACTTAACCGAAAAACCTGCAAGATTTGAAACTCCAGTAGATTTCAGTTTACATTTTTAAGAGGAACCAATTTGCAGTGTACGTAGAGAAATAGCAATCGTGCGGTGTGGATGGTGTAAAAAACTGTGATGCTTTCAACATTTTATCATAGATTACCATCATTGTGAGATATATATTCAATAAAATTTGCAAAGAAAAATTTTTTAAATTACTAATATTAATTTTGATAAAGATATTAATCGCTATTAAATATACTGCAATTAGAAAACTTTTACTTCACATATAATATGACTATAGACTCAAATAAGCAATTCAATATTATATTTTAGAAAGATTTGTATTAAATTTTTTTTTAATTACTGCTTTTTATTAATCTCTAAACAGGTGAACAATAATTTTTTATGATGCATCTAACATGTCAATTATTTAATAAATTTAGTTGATAAAAATTTTACGTCAATAACAAAAGTTAAAAAATTAAGTTCTGCAATCCCTTAGCTACAAATTTTTAAATGTGCCCAAATACATATCATATCATACAAATCATCTTTTCATAAGAAATAAACAGGCGTTGATTTTTTTAGAAAACTCCGACTCAATTTCGTGATACTAAAAAAATAAGTTTTCAGGGGGTAAACTTTAAGGGTTCTAATTCTCACCCTTTCTATATAAGTGGATCCCTAAATTCTTCTTGTAAACTCATTTTCTTGCAAGAAACAACAAGCGTTAATTTCATCAAGAAAATCCGATCAAATCTCGAAATATTACACCCCTGAACATATTTGGATCGCTAATACTGTTTGAATACTCATTTTTT